TTTTACATACCGAAAATTAAATAGGGGTAAACTACGAAATATCTTGACAAAAATTAATTGTCCAATGACGTTAAAGAAGTTTTCTTAATCAATGTGAAAAATAAAACAAACCTATATAATTGAGACGGAGGGAGTATATATTAGTCACAAAGCAAAATTTTTAAAAAAGAAATAAAAACTCCTTGGGCCTTTTATTTCATTTATTAATGTTCAGTTGGGTGCTCATTAAGGTTCTAAGTGCCAAAGTATTTTGGGCCTCTTATTTAGTCCTATCTTGTAGTTTTATCGTGGATTTTTAAACGAACAGAAGAATCGAATAAAAAAATAACGGAGAATTTTTGTTGGACTTTTGGACTGTTAATTTTTTTTTTTTAATATAGTTGAGTTTAAAGAACATAACTACATCCTTTAAGTTTATTTATTTGAAAATGGAATCCAATTTACATCTGTCACCATTTCAGTTGCTTGAATGTTATAACTAATTATAAACAAGGGCCTATTGCTAAAGGAATCCCCAAGTATGAAGAGTATATTTTTATGTACACATAGGAATTATTATTTGATAGAAATACTTGATGCAAACCACTTGTAATCATTGCCTTCCATTTTCATATAAATTACATTACAATTTTTAATTTACAAAAGTATAAGCAGGTAATTTAATAATAGTTATACACAAGGTGAAACGATAGTCTTGATTGAAATATGACTATTAAATGTGAGAAAACTTATCGATGTTTTAAGCAATCGGATAAGAAGCTTGCATGACAATACCACATAGGCCTTCTTCAGCATCAATGCCCCTTTGCATTCTAATGTATCCATTCTCACCCCAGCTTGTTCCCCATGAATTCTTAACTAACCAATACTTGGTAACGTCACTACCTGTTCCATAACCGACTGTTGTAAAGCCATGGTCTAGATCAGTCCCGCATTCTCTAGTGAAGATAACACTCGAATAGAATTGGAAGTCAGATCCACTAGCATCAATGGCAACAGATATTGGTTGCTTAGCCAAGGCTTTAAGTAGTGCTGACTCGCTATTGGCTAGAACATCCTGGTATCCTGTAATCTTGGCAGCCTGGGAGGTATTGCATGTGCCATCTGTTTCGGCGTATGGGTAATTAGATTCAATTGTAAGTCCATGATTGTTAATAACGAATTCGAATGCATTATCCATTAGATCTCAGTTGCAGCCCATATCTTGACTTGTGTCACAATCTACAAGTTCTTGTTTGGATAATGAAATCAATTTTCGAGTTGAAAGTTGGTTGATTCCTTCTGTGGCCGCAACAACTGAGAATGCCCAGTGGCATCCTATAATTTTTGTACAAATAGTAAGATATAACATCAATTTTCTTTCTAGAAGTAAAAAAATATATAACAAAGAATTAAGTTAAAGAATTGTTTGGTTAACCTACCATATTGGCCTTTGTCCTTAACACCAGTAACAACTCCCTTCTTTCTCCAGTCCATGCTTGATGGAACTGCTGTCACATTTTCATACCTAAATGATGACGCTTTAGGTGACTTTTGGTAAGAGAACATCTGGTACCCATCACGAGATGCCTGAAGCTCCTTGTTAGTCAAATCAGCAAATTGATTGATGCCAAGCTTGTAAGACCGAGTCCCTATTTTGTTAAAAGTCTCGATGTACTCTACATTCTCCTTGAATATTTTGTATCGCATTTCCTTTTTTGCATTATCGTTGTATATGCATCCATATTGTGCCATTCATTGCTCGTGTTTTTCAACCATGTATGCATCTTGCAATGAACGGGCTGTGGCATGAGATGTCCACATCTCCAACACCATCATTACAACAAAAATAAGCTTCCAACTGGGAGTTAAAGCCATTCTTTCGAGAATGAGGGTGTTAAATGTATTTGAACTTTATGATCTGAAGAAATGTTGTTGTACATCTATCCGAGAGACAGGTATTTATATAATTCATGGAGTTCTTTCTTCTTCGAAATATCAACTTGTTGCATTTCAAAGTCCCTGGAAAACCCAGCAAGTTATGGATGACAGGGAAATTATACCTAAATTCCGTGGCCGCTGCTTCATTATATTCAATTATTAAAAGCATGCTTCTGCTATGTTATGTCCTATGAACTGTTTGATATTAGTTTTGATTTTAGTGAACAAAATGTGAAGAATTCAATATATAAGAAAGAACACAAAGAATTGTGCGGTTCGGAGCTAGTGTGCCAAACCTACATCCACGGGATAAAAGAGAAAACTATATTTACTTATATTCGAAGTGTTACAATGAAGCACATATATAATTATATTACAACAAGGTTGCCTTATTAAAGATGAGACAATCACGGAAAGAATATAACAAATTATGGAAACATTCCAATTATCATCAACCAATATTCTCTAAATCATGCCATAATATTTTCTTCAGTATTANGTGCAAATAACCTTGGTTTGGACTTGTTCGCGTATAAAATGAAATTCAACTTAAATGTGTTTTGTCCGCTCGTGAAAAACTGGATTGGAAGCAATATGTATAGCAGATTGATTATGACAAAACATTTGGGAGGGTTGTGACGAACCAAATCCCAAATCCTTCAGCAAGGAGCGAAGCCAAATAATTTCACTCACAATAGAAGCCATCGGCCGAGGTGATTTGCACTAGAGCGTGCAACAACATTCTGCTTCTTACTTCTCTATGTCACCAAATTTCCGCCAATAAAAATGTAATGTCCAGTGGTAGATCTTCTATCAACGGCACTACCAGCCAAATCTGCGTCTGTATAAGCAGAAATAAGAGAATGATCATTTTTACGCATCCATATACGTCTTCCAGGTGACCCCTTAAGATAGTGCAAAATCCAATTAACGGTATCCATATGTGCAACACGTGGAGAATGCATAAAGAGGCTAACAAGGTTGACAACATATAAGAAATCAGGTCAAGTAATTGTGACGTTAATTAGTCTGCCCACCAATCTTTGGAATTCATCCACATCAGATTATAGATCGCCATCAAGTGTTAATTTGGAATTACACTCTATAGGCGTCTGAGCTAGCTTAGCATCTAATTTTCCAGTGTCTTTTAACAAATCCAATATGTATTTTCTTTGGTTTAGAAATATGTCCTTTTTGGAATACACAATTTCAAATTCGAGAAAATACTTCAAAATCTCCAAATTCTTAATAGAAAACTGTGTATGAAGAACATTTTTGAGCCTTGATATTTCAGGAAGATCATCATCAGTAATAACGATGTCATCAACATAAATCAAAACAATAACAGTAACTTTCATACCTCTTTTTACGAACAAGGAAGAGTCAGCATTACTCATCCTTAAACTATTCTTGACAAAAACATAACTTAGTTTGGCATACCATGTATGAGGTGATTGTTCAAGACCATACATGAATTTTCTTAATCTGCATGTCAGATCACTACGACCCTCCAGCCAATGACCTGGAGGTATATTCATATAAACTTCTTCATCAAGATCACAATGTAAAATAGCATTCTTTGCATCCATTAGAAATATTTTCCAATCTTGATTGACGTCGATAGATAAAAGAACACGAAACATATTCATTTTGGCTACAGGTTCAAATGTCTCATTGTAATCAACCCCATAAGTTTGGGTGAAGCCTTTTACAACAAGGTGTGCTTTATGTTGTTCAACAGATCCATCACTTCGAAACTTAGTTTTATAAACCCAAGACACCCAACTGTCTTCTTCCTTGGATGAAATTTTACAATGGCCCAAATTTTGTTATCATTAAGGGCTTGTAACTCTTCCTACATTACTCGTCTTCAAATAGGGCTGGAATTTGGTTCTCTAAAATTATTCAGCTTTTGAATTGAAGACAACGAAGCTAAAAGGGCCGAATGAGATAAGGATACGTTGGAGTATGATAAATGTGACTGTATAGGATGACTGACAGTTTCATATGTAACAAAGTGCTTTAATTTTTCTGGAGCATTGGATGTTCAATTTGACCTTCTAAGAATCTTTTCGGAGGTGTGTAGTACATCACCGACATATTCTGAAACATCATGAGCAATTGGCGATAAAGGACTTCTGTTCTCCCCATTGTCTTCATCCTGTTTAGTTTCTCCTATACTTCCAGTCTATACTGTGGTTTCAATTTCACCTATACTTGCAATATCAGAAGAAGATGTCCATATAGTGGGAAGTGGAAACAGATCGGTCAAATTCTCCCCCTGAGATAAAATCTTGTTCGAACTCTGAGCCAAAAAATATGGTTCATTCTCAACAAATCTCACATCTCGTGATACATATAGCTTCTGGGACTGAGGATCATAGCATGTATATCCCTTTTTTATCGAAGAATATCCTAAGAAACGCACCGGATGGAACGATGATCAAATTTATCATGATGGAAGCTTTGTTGGTGCACATAACAAACACAACCAAATCCTCGAAGGTGAGACACATAAGGCTTTCTCCTTTTTAAGACTTCCAATGGTGATTGAAAATGGAATACACGACTTGGAAGCCTATTTATCAAGTACATAGCTGTTAAAACTTCATGTGACCAAAATTTCTTTGGAATATTCATTTGAAGCATGAGAGCTCTTGTAGTTTCAAAATATGTTGATTTTTCCTTTTGGCTACTCAATTTTGTTGAGGTGTACCAACACAACTAGTTTGATGTATAATGCCTTCATTGCGAAGAAAGGCATGAAGGGGACCCTTGGCAAATTCAGTCACATTATCCGAACGAAAAATCTTAATTTTGCTATCAAATTGAGTGGCCACCATACACACCATGCTATGAAAATCATTGAAAACAGGATAGACTTCATTCTTAGATTTCAATAAATAGATCCAAGTAGCACAAGAATAATTATCAATAAACAACACAAACTATTTAAAACCATCATATGAATAAATTTGACATGGACCCCATAAATCAGAATGGATTAACTCAAAAGGTTTAGACATAGCTGAAGAATTATTAAATGATAGACGAACTTGTTTGGAAAATTGACGAACTTCACAAACGAGTGTCCCAAAAGACATAGATGGAAATTAAAAAGATAATACACTAGGATGCTCAAATCTTTAATGTACGATATAATTTTCTAGCATAGTACTACTAAATGACACCGAATGTTTTGAAGAAATAAAGTCCATGTGAGTAGACACCTTCACCAATCTTCTTCCCCGAAGTTCGATCCTGAAACAAAACATCATTAGGAGAAAAAAATAACATTGCAATTGAAGGAGTTAGTTATTTTTCCAATAGAAAGAAGTTGAGTTGGAAACGAAGGAATAACAAGTGCATCTGTACTAGGAATACCAGGAAAAAGATTAATTTTTCCAGACCCATAAACAGGGACTAAGGTACCATTAGTTACTGAAACATCATCTTTTGATGAAGTTTTTTAGAAATCACTTAAAGATGCTGCATCATTTGCCATATGATCAGTGGCACCCAAGTCAATAATCCAAGTATTCAAATGTTTAGATGTACATGAAGAGAAATAAGCTTTGAGTTTACCAGAGAGCATGAGTACGGGAAGAAGGAATAAATTCTTTTGGACTAGGATGACTACTATGACCAAGTTGTTGGAGCATTTGAGTCAATTGATTAAGTGAGATGGTAGTGTCAACAATAGCAGCAACTTCCATGTTTCCTTCTTTCTTAATGGATGGCTTAAGATGAGGATAAAGGTCCCATTAATGATTCTTAGAGTATCTTAGCATGTAACAGTGATCACATTTTGGAACTTCCCGTCTTCCCTTATTTTGAAAGCTTTTCCTTTTCTCATCTCTTTTTACAATAAGAGCAATCGACTCAGATATATGCTTTGGTTCAAAATTCATAGACTTTTTTGAGTTTCTTCTCTCTGTACAGTTGTACACACACTGGAGAAGGTTGGCAGGGTAGAACTCATATATGACTCTTAAGATTCTCATACTTCGGCTTCAAACTTCTTAGTAAAGAAAAAAATCTTAACTTGCCCTTGTTAACAAGATTTTTGCATCGGTTGTATGCCGGCGATACATGCTCAATTCATCCCACTTTTTCTTATAACCAAGATGCTCAATGAATATCTTATCCCCTTACTCAGCAGCAGCAATTTCCCGTTTCAACTCAAAGATTCTAGCAGTGTTGTTTTGATTTCCGTAAAGCTCTTCAACCGAATTCCACAATTCTTCTGTTGAATTTGAAAATGCAAAGATTTCAGCAATATGTGCTTCCATTGTATTTAGAAGTCAAGACCTAACAATTTGATAATTCGAAATCCACCCTTTGTACTTTGGATCTGTATAATTTGGACAAGTAATAGTGCCATTGATAAAACTCAACTTTTTCTTTCTACCAAGAGATAACGTCACGGCTCTTGACCATGGTATGTAATTTATACCGTTCAAGAGAATGGTAGATAAATTCCATCCAGGATTAACATCATGCTTCATCACTATAGATGGATTAATGGATTTCTTAGTCATTGTAGACGCAGAGACAAACCGAAAAGACACTTCGAACTACAAAAAAAAAACTGAAAAAAATGAACAGCTAACTTTGAAGGCAATTTTGACCCACCAAACGCTGCCTAAAATAGCACGAAAGATAACTAGATACGGACAATATGAATCCAATGGAACCTACCTTGCACAATTTCAAGTTGCGGTTTGAAAGATACAACCGTTTTCGTGGAGGTCGCGCAAAACTAAAAA